GCCACAACACCCAGCTGTTTTTGGTTGCAGCCATCATTGTTGTTTGGCAGGCCCAGGCTGGATTCAAACCTGTCACCTTAGGTGTATGTGGCTGGCACCTTAGCCACTTGAGCCACAGGCGCCGAGCCAGCTCTCTGACTTTCTACAGGTCTTTACTGAAAAGCCACCTGAGACTTCCCCTGGCCACCAAGTGCAACTTGAGCCACTGCTAGTATTTGTGTCTTATTAACACTTATCCTTAGCTTAAAAATTATACACTATATATGCATATATATGTATATTCTTATCTTGTTCATTATCTATCTTCCCCACTGGAATATAAACTCTAGGAAGTGTGGGATTTTCATCCATTTTCTAATCTTTACCATTCTACTTCCAGGGCCTAGAATTGGATAATTAATGAATGGCCCAAATGAAGGCCCCTAGTTTATTCCAGTTTGGGTATCTTTCTTCTCCCATCATCCAGGGGACTGAGAGGTAGGAGGTGGGGTGGGTTTCTTAGAACTCCAGGGCCTTCCCTTCTGGTCAGGTCTGCTTTTTAATTCATTTTCCTGTAACCCTCCCTCCCTGCCCTCTGCCCATACTACCTGCCCCCCATCAGTGGCCTGTGGACAGCCACGTGAAGGGGATGAGTGTTACTACATAGAGTGGGTAGAATGTGGGTACACTGGAGGGAGCCTGAAGCTCATTCCCACCCTGTAGAAGGCCTTGCTGACTCCTTCAAGCCCTTCCCTGGAGCCTGATACTCTGGGTTATCCTATCCTTCGCCCTGTCATACTTCCCCCTCCTCTGGGCCCAGGCAAGAGCTATTTCTAACTGCCAAAGCAGGTGCCTTCTGTCAGGACTCCAGGCTGAAACTGCTCTCCTTGCAGCCATCCAAACCCTGCCTTGGTGGCTTCCAAGAGTTTTGGCACCCCTGGGCCTCCCCAAACAAGTACAGTTTCTCAAAGTGGTGCTGACCCAGCCTGCTGCCTGGGGGTGCTGATCCAGTAGTGCATGAATCCAAGAGGGATTTGTGTATGTGAGTGTGTATCTTGACCGATGCCCCCATAACAAGGGGGCCCCACAATCCAGCCCTCCAGTCATCATTAGTCACTAGCACCCACCCCCCGAAAGCATCTCCTACAACCAGGGCCTCTCCCCAGAAGCACCCTATGGAGCAATGTTTCTCAACCTGTGGGTTGCGACCCCTTTTTAACAATGAAAATACATTGCGGCATTAGGAAGGTTGAGAACCACTGCTTATGGAGGAGTAACTCACCTCCACTGTATGTATTTACAGTATGGAACTGGACACCACATTAACGATTTGAAAGAAAGTTTGTGAAATATTTTTACTTCTAAGTGTGTAGGTATGGAAGGCAGGAGAGAGGTTTCCAAATGGCTCAGTAATATGAGCAGGGATCCAGAAATCGCCAAACTTTTCCTTTGGAGAACTTTCCTGAAAGCATAATCTCCCCATCCATCTTAGAGGAGAAAACTGAGGATACTGGACTAGCCTTGCTTTCCCTAATCTCATCCCTATTCCTCCTATTAATTTGCAATCCCGAAGTATTCTCCTTCTTTCAGAAAATGGTAAAATGAGGATTAAAATTTTAGCAAAGCCTTGTCATTGCACTGGGTGGGAATCGGGGGTCAACCCACAGTTCCTGCAGAGGGAGGTCGTGCTGAGGGAAGTAGGGTGCAGGCAGTTGGGTGGGTGGTCTCCCCTCCTGGGCAGAACAGGCTTCCTGGGAAGCACACCATGGGTCACCAATGGCCAAGCACACCATCAAGGGAAAGGAATAGGGAGGAGAGGGAAGTTAAGTCAGCATTTAAATTTGAAGGTTGCTGCAACCCTAGGGGACAGGCAGGAAAAGTGGGGTTGAGAGGAGGAAAAACAGGACCCAAAATAGATAAAGCACTCACAGGCCGGGCAGCCAGCCATGTACACCAGAGAGCAGTCCGCACCTGCCACTGCCTGTCCCACGGCCGCCTGGCTCATAGAGAACTTGTTGGGGGCTGTGGGCCTCACATGGGGTCACTCAGGTCCCACAGCCTGTCATTTCCAATGCCCAGCTCTCCCCTTCCCACTCCCTGCATCCCCCTGCAGTGCCTGGAATTACAGCCCACTACCACAGGACCCGGGTGGGCACATGGAAGAGGGATATGCCCATTCTTTTTTTGTTTGTTTGTGTTTGCAGTTTTGGCCGGGGCTGGGCTTGAACCCACCACTCCCGGTACATGGGGCCGGCACCCCACCACTTGAGCTGCAGGCACCACCCCTGATATGCCCATTCTTGTGCCACAGGAGCAGTGTCATCAGTGCCGCACGAGATCAGCCTCCAGCCTGAGCTCCGTCCCTCATAGAGGAATGAAGGGTAGGCATGCCACAGATATTTATTAACCTCTGGACTTGAGTGCCTTGAGCAAGGCCTGCTGTGTCTCCAAGATCAAAGCCACCGATCTTCCCTAAAACATCACAATTTCCTTCAGCATCCCTCAGGAGCCTGCCCTCACCAGGTGGGAGTAGCTGTATAGCATAATGGGTCTCACCAGCACGGCTTTGGGCAAGTTTCTAAGCCGCTGTGAACCTCAGTTTTCTTATCTGTACCACTGAGATAACCATAACTACATTGAAGAGTAAATTAAATGGCACTTTGTAAGTGTCTACCACTGCCTGGCGCTTACCAAATGCTCGATAAATCACAGCTACTCTTATTAGACACCTGGGCCTCGGGGAAGGTCTGTTTCCTGCTCACACCATGTCCTGCTGGTTTCTGTTGTGTTCTATTCATTTTCACAGCTCACCAGGGCTTTGCTCTGTCCTGCCTTAGAGTGTCCTGCCTTAGACTCAACAAGTGGGAAACTGAACTCCTCTTCCCAGTGAATCTGCTCTTCCTCAGCCATCCCTTTCCTAGCTAGTGGCCTATGCCAGAAACCCCGGGAGTCTTTCCAGTCCTCCCCATGCTCAGGTCCAGGCCTTTCCACCCTAACATCTCTGAATCCATCTCTGCCTGTCCCTTGGCACTCCCTCTGCCCTTGTTTGATCTGCAGTGATCTGTCGCCATCTGTGCCTCCTCCCCCAGGTTCTTCTCCATACAGATCCGGCCCCTTCCTTGCCCTTTAGTCTATGATGGCTCCATACTGCTCCCAGATAAAATCCAAATGCTTTCCATGGCCTAGAAGATGTGGCCCCCCTTATGATTTCTCTGGCCTCCCTCTGGCCTGCTGGCCATGTCACCAGTCATGTGGAATGACTTTCAGGTCATGAGCTCTCCGGCTGCCCTACTGTCTGTGCCTCTGCTCCCTGCTGACCCCTTTGCCTGATTGCCTGTCCATAGGCCGAGTCAGCCCTGTGTGTCCCCACAGTCCTCTATAACTGCTCTTTACTGCCTCTGCCACACCCTGCTCCCTTGAGACCACATGTGCAGTCTCACATGTGTCCCTAACGGTGGGGATTCTTCATGGTTTCTCTGCCCTGAGAATAGGAGAGAGGTGACACTCCCCATTGGTAATAGCATTTGGGGATGGGGACTAGGGTGAGTCTCCAAAGAAGGCTTCTCAGGTCACTGTTGGCAAGTGAGGGGAGGTTTTGTGGCTTAAATCCCCTCCTAGTGGTCCTGAGGCCCTTCCCATGGGGTATATGTTTCCCTCACACCCAGCGGAAAGTTTTTGGGCTCACAGCTTTTGCCCTGATGCTCTCTTTGCCTGGAATCCTCTTCCCAGATTGCCACATGACTCACTGTCTTCTTTCTTTTGGATCCCAACTTGAATGTCACCTTATTGCTGAGACCTTCCTGTCCCCTCCTCCACCATCCATCTTCTTGCCCTGCTTTGTTTTTCTCCTTAGCAGTTGGCAAGACTTGATGTGCTATTTATTTATTTACCTATTTATTTATTTTAGCTGCCTCTCCTGCTCTGAACATAAGGTCTGTGACAACAGGGACTTTGTTCTGTTCACTCCTATGTCACCTGCATCTGGAACAGTGCCTGCTACATCAGCATGTGTAATTGAATGAATGAATCCATGTCCTAGGGCACCACCACTCCAGGTGCAGGTGGTCCCCTTCTGCTGTTGGCACTGAGACAAGGTAAGCACAGGCAGCAAGTAAGCATTTGGAAAATTTTATAGCCATTTGCAGTCACTTCCAAGTACGTGGGTAGACTATACACAAATCCGGGTTTGTTAAAGTCACATGGCAAGTCCCACAAGGCACCAGTTGTGAAATGGTCCCACATAGCAGGACCACATATCAGTTCAGGAAAGAAAGGAAATTAAAAACAACAAACTGGTCTTTCTCCACAGATCCCCTGAGGTCTGCTCTAGAGCACATCATACTGCCTGGCACATTGTCAGTACTCAGGAAATGTTTGTTGACTGAATGAATAATGGAAAGTTGTGATCTCCCGCATGATTCCAAGGCAAATGTGGCCTTGGGATCTCCATTCCCAAGAAGAGACACCAGGCCTCAGGCCCTGATGCTAGAGCAGGGGAGATGGCCCCTGACTCCCCGACTGCCTGAGCCTGGAGGAGGACCCTGAGCCTGCCAGAATTTGTGACTTAATAAAGGCTCTCTCTCAGTTAGGGCCTTTATTACCGAATGTCCCCTGCAAGGAAATGCTTATCCCTCCATAGACAGAGCTTTAATTGGGGCTATGGTTGGCTGGAGGTAGGTCTGGTGTGTGATCTGCAC